GTTATCTGACTTGACATATTGACTTTCATTCAACTAGCTACAGACTTTAGCACATTATGCCTGGCTCCCCAAACAGTGAGAGGTAAAATTCACTTTCTAGTTGACAACATCAGTTCCTCTGGCTTGGTAGCATCACATTTATCTATCTTTGGGAGCATTTAAAAATTTTAGTTAAATAAAGAGTACTCACTGAAACTATTTAGAGCCATGCTGTGCTTTGGATCTGTATGAATAATTTCCAGGGAATTTACCAAAATTTCAGGACTAGGGTGTTAAATTGGACTGTATCAATAAATGCATCTGCTATTATTACTGATTGATGTACAATGGACAAAAAATCCTAATACAGCCCTAAAAGTTTAGAAAAATGACTTTTTATATATATATACTAGCAGCTTGTCCTCCCTTCTCCTCTACTCCTCTACCCAATATTCATTTCTTGCTCATTTTTCTGCTTTCTGAATTTCTGCTTCTGATTCATTCAGTGTTCAACAGCTCCAAGTAGCAATGGTAAAACTTGCAATATAATATTTTAACTCACTGTAACATTAGTCGGACTGTTTGCCTTGTTATTTGCTGTCCCAGCCTTTATACTGCTCAAGAAGACACAGGTGTAAAAGCTTTTCTGCAGCACTGTACTAACATGTAGAGCACTTGCTATAATTAGACCCCATTTAATTTTGTTGGTTTGTTTTCCTTCTTTTCAGCAGATGAGTTTTGGCTTTCCATGATTCTCAGTCTTGCCGTTGACCAATCAGTCATCTTGTATTCCATCATTCTCTCAGACATGTAACTGAAGTTGAAAAATGTTTTTAAGAAATCTGTTGCAAATTACTTGTGACAGTCTGCTGCTGCATATACAGGTAACATTTCTCATAGCAGTGTAGAGAACACACACCTGAAAAGACATTAACGTTAATCTAGGTTGACGATATTCTTATTTACACACACTTCATTGCATGTAAAATTGTTGATTTCATATTTTTTTCACTGCGAAAAGATTTAGGAGCTCAAATAAGTCCCCCAAGTAGCATTTATACAGTTAAAAGGACCAAATTTGTATTGATTCCACTTGCTTTTTCTGCCCCATAAACATCATGCTTTTGTAATAAATCTCAGAATCAGATTTTGCTCTCTAATTTGCCACCGAGAATGGCTGAGAAAGCAGTAAAAACACCAAAAAAAGTTCTGTGTCTCTTAAATTGTCAAGAAAATATGAATCCAAGAGCTCTAGTGAACAATTTTAGATAAAACCTAAGGCAGCTTTCTCCTCAGGACAGTGTCAGCAGGGCTGTAGATCAACAAGACTTGAGCAACAGGTCCATACTGCCAAATACTGCATCTCCACGCTGCATCTGACTGGCTTGCACAGAGACAACCAAACTGATGATAAGAATTTGGATTCTCTTTCCATATGTTTGTTTCTAGAAAGTACTGGCTGCTTGCAAATGCAGATTTCTAATAAAGTATTCTTCTCTCTCA